TCAATCAAGGAAGTCTCAGCTGGTGCTGATCCCGACTGAGCTGATACAATCCCGATCACAACGGTCACTAGGAAAGCAGTGAAGAGCAAACGCGTCATGTTAGTGCCCTGGTGAATTCACAAATGCCTCAAGATTGGATTCTTCTATGCTACAGAAGGAATTGGCTACACAATCCAGAGGAGTAGCCCTTCAGCCGTGTCCGTTGACCGGAGCATCTTAGAGCACTGGACTTGTGGCGAGTCAAACATTGGCGGGGCGCGAAAGTTGGACAACAGCCTTCAGTACTTCCAACTCAGCTTTGGCAATGCCGCATTGAAGCCCCCGAACGAGACGCACTACGGATTCGATTCATTGAGCAATCCAGGCTCTCATGAGTAGGCTTATTGCACTATTGAGTAGTTGAGAAAGGGGAATCTTCGTCAATTATCGATTTCTGTATAATCTGTTCGTACCGTCACGCTAAAAAAAAAAAAAACGATGCAACGGTTGTAAACTCGAAAAATAGAAGCGAAAACTGCGCTGTCGGAAAACGCATAATCTTAACCTTGATTCGGTTTGGCGAGGATTTACACTCAATTAGGTGCTCCAAGTTTGTCAGGTAAAAGAGCTTGATTCCACAACAGAACGTGGAAGAAGTATCGATAGCTAAGCAACCACAGCAAGCTCATGTCTTTGCCCAGGAGGTGGTCGTCTCGAAGTGATACTTCACCTATTTTTTCTGTAAGATAATTGAATAATAGGTCGGGGGATATTGCAAAGGGATGTAATGCAAGACGTCTGGCAAAATCTTAAATCTATGTGGGCGATTTATATAATTGCGTAAGCTGTGATCATCACAATGGTAAACGCAGATGTGACCCAGTGAGTAGCACGAGGAGAGCCCGAGTTATTGTCGGATCCGCTTGATTGGTCCTCACCTTCATTTCCGATTTCATCTCCCGAGGATGAACTGAGGTGAACGCTCTCGCCACTGGTAATATTTCGCACATTGTCCAAGCTACTCGAAAGCGAATCCCGGGAATCGCTCGCGCCATTCAGAATAATATCGTTGGAAGAACTACCACTTTCCGCATTGCTGCTAGTATTTCTGGTGATTGAGCTGATGATCACATCCCTAAAAGTGTCCTTGGAAGTGCTGGATGCGCTCGCAGTCGCTGGTTTCTTTGGTGTAGATCCAGTAGAAGCTGACGAGTCGATTGCATTTTCTTGGCTTGACCCACCTGATGTAGTCACGGCCGAGTCTCCGTTTAGACTGGGGGATGTTGCCTGCTTATTACCGTCGGTCATGGCCGAAACACTAACCGAGTTCACTGTAGTGCCAGTCGTTGGCGTACTCAGTGTGCCATCGGGTGCCTTCCGCGATGGCTGCACGGGCAGTAGTGTCGGAGGAGGAGTCGTTGGGATAATCGTTTTACGGATCACCACCACTTGAAAAGTTTCGGGAGTGGCAGTAAGAGGTTCCTGAGGTATCGGTGGGGTGGTGAGTTCCGGTGTTGACTCGTCGTTATTGCTGGATGTAGATGGCTCGGTACTATCGTCGGTCGGTCTGCTGCTGTGCTCAGTGGGGTTTGTCGTTGCAACTATAGTCTCGGAAGTTTCGTCGCTTTCACACGAGATGGCCCTGATTAGG